AAATATTTAGATTAATTTGAATGTTGGAAATTAATTGCCAAATGTACACTAAACCATGATTAACGAGTGCATATGTTTTTGAATGGCTCATTTTTTACCATATTGTATTGTGCCCTAACTCTGCATCCAAAATGAAAAAAAAACCCTATCTAACATGAGCAACTTAATTAAGTACTTAAGAACAATCATTTATTGGTGCCCTTCCCAGTTCTCCGTAGATTGCCTCTACGTTTGTGGAACGGTTTACACATAAAATATTCCTACAAAACTTCGTAGTAAATCTCAATATCCGGTACAGCATGATAACCCCATACTTCCGCGCAATAATTAAGTGTAGACAAATCACGAAATCAAACAAGTATGTTTCTGAGATATTGACAACTCTAATTCGTTATTAACAAGGAGTTATGAAGAGATGGTGTTTTGTTTAATTATTTGCTTCGTGTGATTTTGAATAAATAAACACCAAAATACCTAAATGACTGTCAGTTCGCGAATAATTGATATAGAAATCATATAATGTATAACGATCGGTATTGTGGTAGGTCTCAAAATTATTCACATCTATTTTAAAGTTTTGGAGCCATATGCAAACATTGCACCGTCATCTGCGAATAATAATAAAATATCTTTACATTATCAATACTCAGTAATCTATGTCATTTATCTTTCTTTTAATAATATATAGAATATCACTGAATAAAAGGGAAAAAGGATGGTGCTAGCTGGGTCTCCCTGTTTTACTCCAAATATTGATGAAACGTAATCTGAGACCGACTGATACCAGAAAACATACTTCACAATTAAATACATTGATTTTTAGCTGTAATAAGCTTGGTGTCTACGTTTGATGTCCCCTGTCCGGTCAAACTTTTTTTTACACATTCCAGACAAGCGACAAAATATTTCCTTTACGTTGGCATTGTTTTAATGTAATATCATAGAGAACAAATTCGCAATCATAAGTTGATTTTGACTTTTGAAATCCATATCGATTGTATACTAGTTCTGAATTTTCGTCTGCCCAGTTTGTAAGTCTAGTAATTAGCATTTTTTTTAGAAAATTAATACATTATGTGATAATACAGTGAAACCTGTCTAAACCGAAGCCGTCCGGTCCAGAAGATAGGTTTCTGTCGGTGAAAGACTAATATAGTTCATGTTGTTTACTTGAGGGTCACATACAAATTACGCAAGTTTTGTTGTGCACCAGTTTTGATTCATTAAAATTTAAAGCTTGTGTTGGCTATCATCCGCACGATTATTCAGTTCGTCCGGGTCCACCCTTGCATTATATACTTGTATTAAAGGGACTCCACTGAGGTTTTTTGACATGACGGGACTGGAAATATTTTTTTCAGATTATTACTCAACTATACTTATAACTTATGATCAAACTTCCAGATCATTAGCTCGTTCCGTTTTTCCAAAATAATAATTATACTAGTGAAATAATAATTATAATAGTGAAAATGACCCAAAATTGAAAAGTGTTTAAACGCTTTTCACTCGAATCGGACAGAGAATAGCACAAACATACGATTTTCAATGTATTTCCTGTATGTTTCTTAGTTACATTTTATTTATATTTCTGTTATAATAGCTCGAGTTGATCTATGTGAAAAATTAAAATTTTATGTTTTAGGCTTATTAACCTCAGTGGAGATCCTTTAAATGAATGTGAAATTTGTTTTCTCTTTTTTCGTATTTTACTTTTCATTTTGCGTACTTTGTTCCGTTGACATGGAAAAAATGTTTCTATTTTAGTTAAGGATTTAGTAAGTTGTTATTTAACTTAACAATATTAAATTTCTAGTATATGCAATTTCATCGAGTGGTTTTCTTCTAAGGATATTTAGCAATGCCACTTGCTTAAAATTAATCTAATTACTTTGCCATTTTGCGAAATAATTTGCATTATTTAAATACAATGAAAAAAGTGATAGAAGCATTAAAAACAACAAAATTACATGATTTTGGTCCATATAGTTACATTGCAACCCATCAATAAAATAAAGAAATAAAATGACGGTTTTTTAGTAAGATATAAATATATGCATGCTTCCTCATATGTTCTTAATGTTCTTTTTTAGTAAATGTAGTTACAAACCTTATCAAATATGTTAGGAACTTATGAACCAGAACAGAAACCGTGCATAATCTCCATATGCATCTCTAACCATATTTATTATCCCCCGCCGAAAAGGCGGCGGGGGATATAGAAATAGTCTCCGTCCGTCCGACCTTCCGTCCTTCCGTCCGACATTTTTGTCCGGAGCATATCTCTAAAAGTATTTGAGTTATCAACTTGAAACTTCATAGGTGGATAGACCTCATTGAGGAGGAGTGCAGTGCATAAGAATGATAACTCTACCTTGCATGATTTATGAGTAATTGCCCTTTGTTATTTTTCAAAATTGATTTTTGTCCAGAGCATAACTCCAAAAGCCTATGAGATATCAACATGAAACTTCATAGGTGCATAGATCTCACTCAGGAGGTGTGCAGTGCACAAGAATGATAACTCTTCCTTTCATAATTTTTGAGTTATTGCCCTTTGTTATTTTTCATACATAATTTTTCACCCGAGTGGAGCATAACTCAAAAGTGTTTGAGATGTCAACATGAAATGTCATAGGTGGATAGATCTTATTGAGGAGGAATGTTGTGCGCAAGAATGACAACTCTTCCCTATACAATTTTTGAGTTATTGCCCTTTGTTCTTTTTCATGCTATTTTGTCCAGAGCTTATCTCAAAAAGTATTTGAGGTATCAACTTGAAACTTCAAAGGTGGATGGATCTCTTTGAGGAGGAGTGCAGTGCTTAAGAATGATAACTCTACCCTGCATTATTTTTGAGTTATTGCCCTTTGTTATTTTCAAAATTAATTTAAGTCCAGAGCATAACTCAAAAAGCCTTTGAGATATCAAAATGAAACTTCATAGGTGCATAGGTCTCACTCAGGAGGTGTGCACTGCACAAGAATGATAACTCTACCTTTCATAATTTTTGAGTTAGTGCCCTTTGTTATTTTTCATACATAATTTTTCACCCGAGTGGAGCATAACTCAAAAAGTGTTTGAGATGTCAACATGAAATGTCATAGGTGGATAGATTGTATTGAGGAAGAATGCTGTGCAAAAGAATGATAACTCTTCCCTGTACAATTTTTTAATTATTGCCCTTTGTTCTTTTTCATACTATTTTGTCCAGAGCTTATCTCAAAAAGTATTTGAGGTATCAACTTGAAACTTCATAGGTGGATGGATCTCATTGAGGAAAAGTGCAGTGCACAAGAACAATAACTCTACCCTGCATAATTGTTTAGTTATTGCCCTTTTTTATTTTTCAAAATAAATTTTTGTCCAGAGCATAACTCAAAAAGCCTTTGAGATATCATTATGAAACTTCATAGGTACATAGATCTAACTCAGGAGGTGTGCAGTGCACAAGAATGATAACTCTACCTTTTATAATTTTTGAGTTATTGGCCTTTGTTATTTTTCATACTTAATTTTTCAATTCAATTTTTTTCTCAAAAAGTATTTGAGGTATCAACTTGAAACTTCATAGATGGATAGATTTTACTGAGGAGCGATGCAGCACACAAGAATGATAACCTACCCTGTATTATTTTTCAGTTATTGCCCTTTGTTATTTTCAACCATCAGTATTCACATAGGTTTCAAATCTGTAATCACTATAGCCATCAGTTTTCATTACCAAAAGACCTCTTAAAATGGAATTATTCTGCTTTACTACATATACATTCTTCCAATGAGCAAACACATTCGGCTGGGGATGGCCATGTTGACATGGCTCTTGTTTATATCGTCTTACTTATACGCAATTAAAGATACAATAATATTTTTTTTTTCGTTTATTGTGAGCTGATTCAGATCATCAACACATAATCAAGTTAGTGACATTTTGAGCTATTTGCGATATCTGGTACCCAGAAGAAAGATGAAAGTTGTAATTGTAAGCAGACGCCAGGTAATTGAAGTTTGCATGTCCAAATTGAACCGAGATGACATCTGCCACCATATGCACCTGAGTCTCTTTCAACAACATCTCTCTAGCATCACGGAATTATGAGTGGTTATTACAAGAACAACGTTATGTCCTTCCGGTCTATCACCGGATGTAGGTGTCAGCGCATGCTTGATGATGTAATTAAGCGCACTTGCGTTGATATAGCATGAAGTGTGTCTGCTTTCGAGGGGTGATCATTAAAGTCAAATATAGGTAGGAAGTCATGTGAAAACATCCCGAGTGCCACATGAATATCTGATTTACTAACTGGGAGACTAGCAACAACATTTTGCAAAAACGAAAGCACAGCGGTTTCATAGGGTTGAATTCTGGACGTATCATCAACAACTAAAACCAAGTCTTTGAAATAAGACGGTTAACACTCCTTACTTTGTGAAATGTAATTGCCGTATACCACCTGTACATAAACACGGTCATTTAAAAGTACCACTTAATTACACTGCTTGAAATATTAAAATTTTTGAATGAGTTCCTCATCATTATCAAAACAACATTAAACAGATGAACGTTTTGGGTTGCCTAACATTACAAATAGGTTATATGGCAAAATATAAAAATTGTAAAATCAAACAAGCCAGGGCATACGGCAACGGTGATGTAACAAACAAAATATTCTTTCATACAGAAATATATTATAAAACTGTTAATTAGTCTAGTACATTGACTGTTTATGAAAATAATTTAAAACACTAAGCCTCACCTGACCAATTTAACTTTGTAAATACGTACTAATAAACTTTAACCTATACATAATATATCAGTGTGTTATTTTACCAATAAATCATCCTGAATTGTTGTTTTGTTAATAAATAAAAAAATAACCAATTAATAGATTTACAGCTGTTCTACAGATTATACAAAGTGTCCAATTAAAGCCGACATAACTAACACATATTTTCTATCATAATAAGAGATGGAGGGACACGTAAGTGGTAAAGTCATTCATCAGAAGAGAAAACTAGGGGTAAAATACATTACGCGTTATAGGTTTTGGTGTCTGTGGTGCAAGATGGTTACAACGGTCTTCCATACAACATGTAACTGTTAAATCACGTGATTTCACATGTCTTTTCCCGAACACTCCGGCGTTTAATGGATGGTCACATTCCTTAAAACAACAAACCGGTTTTTTGTTACATATTTTATCATAATAGTATAAGAGCGGACTTGCTGGATTTAAAATCGGAAACCAATACACGGGGGAGGAAGTGTTACACGAAGGATGGAGTTCTTATGATAACTTGTTCAGGAGTTCTTGTGATAACTGTCACGGAGTTCGTCGGAAAAAATCTGAATATACAAAAATGTACTACAAAAACACTCGTCAAAATGGTTATTTTCATCGTTAAAAATGAGTTTTAGGTGCTAAATTAAACTTCAATAATTAAGCTTGTCTTACATCTTGTATTATGTGTCGAAGCCTATTCACGGGCCATTTTCATCGCCCCTTGCTTCAAATTTGGTAGTTTTGATTAAAATATCCAAATTACTTGCCAATTCACAAGTTTTGACCTGTGTATTTCTGGTCTTCATCCTTGCCATACATAATTATCTAATTATAATGCAAAATTTCATACATAAAGCATCGGATAACAGATTTATAACCGATTTTTCAAATGTCCCGGAGTTTTTGTGATATCGGCTGAAGATGATCACAGAGTTCTGTCGATAACTTTTTTGTTTATTGCCAAGTGTGTTTCTTGCCGCTTTTTTCCCCGGCACGTTTTTGGCGTTTTTTTTTATCTTTTTAAAAAATTTTAAAAATCATTTTTGCAATGCATTTAACGACATCCTTTTGCAAAAAGTGGAAAAAAACTTTGGGGTCTTAAGTGTGGGAAAAGGGAAAAATAGGGATGGGGCTATCATCTACAGAAAAAATTGGGAACCCAGGGGCCCACTGATATTCAGCGGGTAAATGGGTAAACCACATAACAAAAATTTTTAAAAACGACACTTTGTTCTCAGTTTCCCATGTTTTAAAGGGCCCCACCTTTCTTAACAGAAAATAAAGTTTGTTTCCCCTTACCAAAGGGCTAAGTAATTTGTTATTTTTATCCCTTTAAAAAATAACCGGGAAAATTTTCCACCCCTTTTGTTTTTAAAAAAGTAGATCCCAGAAAAAAATTTCAAATGGGGGTTTTGCTCTACTACTAACCGATCTCTCGAACAAATTTGAACTGTTCCCTCCAGGTTCGAGCGAACTAAGTTTGACTGTATATTTTTCATATATATCATAATAGCAAAAGTAGCAGAGTTTCCTCCACTAAGATTACATAGGGGAAATACTCATCAAACATCGGCAGAAAAATATACATGAAAATACCATATTTGAGTATTTCAAAGAGACATTTTATCACGTACATAAATGCCGACTACTGGTTTCATTAGAAAATAGCGCAGTTCCCGACACAAAATCGCACTTTTTAACAAATAAATAAAAATCTGTCTACCAAAGAGTGCAAACTTTTGACAGAACAAAGTTAGGTACCTGTCCAGCATTACCATGTTTTTAATGTTGCTCTTTTAATTTACATTTTAATGGAATAAAGGCCTGAGATGTAACACCTTTGCACAAAATTTATTAAAAAATTTCATGCATTTTTTTCGGACCTTTCTTATTTTTAAATATAATTCAGTAAATAAGAAAAGTTAAACCCTGTTTTTTTCAAAAAGTTTAAAACTTCCCAAAATTTTTCCCTTGTCATCTGCAAATTATTGTTTAAAATATGATTTCCCTTTAGAAGGGATTTCAGTTTTTGTGCAGGGCATTAAAACTAAAAATTTCCCCCGGGGTTTTGCTTGTAATTTGGCCCAAATTTCCCCTTAAGTAATTGAAAAACAGAAAAAATTTGAAAATTTTTATCCGGGAACTTTAAAAACTGCTTTTTTTACATAGAAAACAATGTTTCTTAAAGGGGGATCCCAAGAAACATAGATGTTTTCCTGGGGAAAAAATAGTCTTTTGGGCCTGGTAAACGAAAAAGGGGGCCAAAAGGGGTTTTTTTAACTGCCTAAACCGGGAAACTGCAAGGAAAACCAGTAAAAACCCCCCTTTTCCCCAGTCAAGAAATTGGCCTCAAAAAAAAAATAATAGAAAAAAAAAGGGGGGGAAAAGAAAAATACATTTGAACAAAAATTTAAAGGGGTTAAAACCAACATTATATACCAAATTTTTTGCCAAAAGATTAGACGTACTACTTTCATTAAAATGTTTTACAATCTCTTTAAATTTAAATAAAAAATTAAAAGGGTGCCGTGTTTTTAGCGCAAAAACAAAACGGGCCCAATGAAAAGTTATCATAAAACTTTGTGCATTTCAGATTATACAAGAACCCGGGCTTTTCAAAAAATTTCGGGTTTATAAATCTTTACCCGGGTTTGCTTTATGTTTGAAAATTTTTCCCATTATTATTGGGAAATTTTAGGGCCCAAAGGATAAAGACCAAAAAAACCCGGTCAAATACTTGTGAATTGGCAAAAAATTTTTGGAATTTTACTGAAAACTCCTATATTTATGGAGCCAACGAGGCGATGAAAAATGGCCCTGTGAATTATTTTTTTTAAACCTATATTCAACAGAAATCTGTAAGACAAGCTTAAATTATTTTTGCGGTTTTAAGTTTAGGCACCTAAAACTCATTTTGAAATATGAAAATTATCATTTTTTAACGATTTTTTTTTGTAGTATATACAGATGGTTTTTCCGACGAACTCCGTAACAGGTTATACACAAGAACTCCTTTACAAGTTATCAAAGAAAATCCATCCTTTCATGTAACACTTCCTTCCCCCGTAAATATTATAGTTCTTTTTAAAATATGTTATTTTTTTTATCTACCTCAGAAAATAGATATGTTTGATCAATTTTTGGGCCCGGTAACCATAAGTTTCAGACATTATTTATGCACAAAATTTTAAAATAAATCAAAGGGCAGTTCCGAGAAGATTATAATCTTTTAATGGAATTTAATAGCAAGTTCGTGGAGAGACTAAATGTATTAATTTCTTCCTTGTCTTTCAGCTAGAAAAAAAGCGACATGGTTGTTTTTTTTAATGTCGAAACATTAATGGATTGTCACATTCCTTAAAACAGTATACAAGATTTTTGTTACATAATTTGTTATAATATTATAAGAACGGACTTGCTTGATTTAAAAAAGGAAACGGATTCAGTTCTTGAAAATATGCTATTTTTTCTACCTCAGGAAAAGGTTGTTTGTCTGATCAACTTTGACCAGACATTATTGTCACAAAATTCGGAAAAATATCAAATTCCTGCGAAGGGAATTATATCTTTTTTTATGGTTTAATGTCAAGTTCACTGAGATACTAAATGTATTAATTTCGACCTTATCTTTCAGCTAGGCAAAAGCGACGTGGCTGTTTTGTATTGTTCAAAACTTTTAGAAATATCAAGAGTCATAGTTCCAGGACGGATAGAAAACACAGAAGGTATGTTCTGGTTAAAGACTTTGTAAATATATTTAAAGAGAACTTTCTTACACACCGCGAGGTCCGTGTCCAGAATTCCGATTTTTAAAGCTTTTGTGAATTAACCTATCAAATTCACCTTAAAAAACTAATAGTTTAGAATTTATATACAAATTGTTTATTTCTAACTCTGCCTCTTCTTTACGACTTAAGGAATTTACTTCAGACTTTACACCTGCATCACATATGACAAGGTTCACTAATGAATCTACTAGGAATAATTTTCCTTTCAATATGCACGTGACATTTTTCATTGTTTGTCTTTATTATGTTATTTTTTATTTCAAATTTACAAGTTAAAAAGTTTGATAAAGTATTATTTGATTTTTAAATACATAACCTCACCTACCTGTTTATCTGCGCATGTCAACTCATATTCATGATGTCCGTCATAAATAGATTTTAGTTCTTTTCTCATGCACACCTTCAAATCATAAACCATAGAGTACCATCATCTTAAGTCATTTTGAAAACAAGTTTATCATTACTGTTCACGAAAGCTTTCCAATACTTCAATGTGACACATTAATAAAGTCAGTCATGTACTACCAGCAGTAATTTTAGTGAAAAGGGGCGTGTGGTTATCATCTTTTGGAACATTTTGCAAAACATTTGGCCGGTCAACCTTATATAACAAGATCGTTTTAATGTGTTATTCCTTTATCTTACAAACCAATCAACGCATGATCTACTTTAAAACTTCAGCAGGATAAATTCACTTACGAATCCTTCTGGACATGTTTTTACTGTCTTACAATGATCCGTGTCCAGTACTGTTCCATTACAATGATAACATACAATGGCTGAAATAAAAACAACTATTTCTTTAAAGATTTTGCTTAAGCATTGGTATCTTCTTTTATTTATTATTTATATTATTATATAATTGTTGTTGTTATTATCATATGGTTTAATGAATAAAGCTCGAAAATGACAATATGATTTTAAGCGTTCCAAGCCTTCTGTTATTAACTGGAAATATATCCGACTACTCTTTGTGAAATTAGAATACGAGTAATGCACTGCTTTCAATTTTTATCGAAGATCAAACATCCGTTTGCAAGCTTTTTGTGCTCCAGTGCGATGCCATTTAACAGTAAAACTACAGGGACCGCAATTACATTAAGCTGCTTTACATTGCGCTCACAGTCACACATATCAAAAAACGTGTAGTAACGAAAATTTATCCGTTTATACATGTTTTGTTCTCCGTTAATGTATACCTGCGTGGGCAGTTTATGAAACACATAGCCATTATAAAACAAGAAATGTCGAACGACACATATGCCCCCCTTTCTATGACTTGGCTCATATTTGTAATTTTATTATAGAAACTTGCCAAAAATGGGTACATGGAAGTGTTCAGTTATTGGCCTTTGAACTAGTGATCCCATTATGACTAAAATATATATCAAATATCAAGACTTTGTGATAAATGTTTTCAGCGTAATAAGCGGAAACTACATTTACGTTTAAGGCTCCTGTGACCTTGATCTTTTAACTAGTGATTCCAAATCAATAGGGGTCATCTACTACATATGGCTATTCCATATGTGAAATATGAATATTTATTCATGATAATGAGTAAAACCCATTCTGATATTTAAGGCACCTGTGACCTTGACCTTTGCCAATGTGATCTTACTATCAATAGGGGACATCTTCATCTTATGACCAATCAATATGTGAAATATGAAGACTTTTGTGATAAATAGCTTTCAAATTAATAAGTAGAAACCATACTACAATTCAAGGCCCAGAGTGACCTTGACCTTTGACCTAGTGTCCAAAGCTCACCTTAAGGGCCCCTGTGACCTTTGACCTAGTTACCCAAAATCAATAGATGCCATCTACCTACTAGTTATGACCAATCACTATGTGAAATATGAAGACTTTGTGATAAATACCTTTTAAGATAATCAGCGGATACCATTCTGACATTTAAGGCCCCTATGACATTGACGTTTGACCTAGTGACCCCATAATCAATAGGAGTCATCAACTAGTTAAGACTTATCACTAAATGAAATGTGAATACTTTGTGATGAATAATTTCTAAGATAATGAGCGGAAACCATTCGAACATTCAAGGCCTCTGTGACCTTGACATTTGACCTAGTACCCTAAAAATCAATATAAGTCATCTACTAGTTTTGACCAATCACTGTGTGAAATATGAAGACTTTGAAGATAATTAGCGAAAACCATTCCGACATTTAAGGCCCCTGTTTTCTAGTGACGCAAATTCAATAGGGCTTATCTACTTGTTATGTCCAATTACTATGTGAAATATGAAGACTTTGTAATGAATAGTTTTCAAGATAATAAGCGGAAACTATTCTGACAATTAAGGCCCCTTTCACATTGCCCTTTAACCTAGTGACCCAAAATTCAATATGAGTCATCTTCTAGTTATGACCAATTACTGCGTGAAATATGAAGACTTTGTGATGAATATTTTCAAGATTATCAGAGGAAACCATTCTGACATCTAAGGGTCCTGTCACCTTGACCTTTGACCTAGTGATTCAAAAATTAATAGGGGTCATCTACTAGTTATGAGCAATCACTAGGTATGTGAAATATGAAGACTTTGTGATAAATAGTTTTCAAGATAATCAGCGGAAACCATGTGGTCTACCGGCGGACAGACAGACCTACCGACCGACCGACATTAGCACAACATTATACACCCTCTTTTTCCAATGGGGGGGGGGGGGGCATGACAATTACTTACGACAAAGTTTACAAAAAGCAGGACACGCAGTTTTAGCAATTGTTTGGTCCGAACAAAGATTAGGTCGTTGTTTAAACATCTGTTCACAAGCTGACGTGTCTATATCATTACAACCAAACACTGTCACGGCGCACACTAAAGCACCTTCAAAATAAAAAAATATTACACATATAATATTTAAATTGTGTCTATATACTGTCGCCGTATAAATGAATTAAGCAGCATTTAATTATACGTGTATATACAATAAACATGCATATAGGAAGATAAGCTTAACAGTTGTGACACAATAAAATTTAAATTTCAAAACTTATAATCAAAATTTTATGTCACACTAAGACAAAAAGGTTCATTTAACGACTTTCCAGTTTTAGTGGTGTAAGACCATCTCATGTGTCTATTCGAGCATATTTCCGGCACGAACAGAAATATTAGTAGAACAACCGACCTTTCGTGTGCCAGCTTCCGTAAAAGAACCAACAAATCCGGACGGAATTCGATCCCGCAGCGGTAGTGGCAAGTAATTTGAAGACAGCAGTCAACCATGAATACACAAGCTACAATTGTAACAGTAACAGAACTTGCGGCTGGAATATGACCTTATTAAAATTACTTATATGAGTTTTAAAAAGTAATTTCTAGTTAAATGCGAAATGTTCGCATTATTCTGTGTCATTTAATGTCTGTGTCACATGTAAATGTGTTATGTAATAGTTACCGTACGAGGAATAGGTCTGCATAGTATTTACAGACCCGGTGGCGATTTGAAGACCGATAGAGCGTAGCGATCGAGGTTTTTAAAAGGCCTTCGGGTCTGTAAATACAATGCAGACTTATTCCGAGTGCGGTAACTATATTACCTACATGCTCTTTTGTATTTCTATCCAAACATCAAATTTATAACTCAATATTTATCAATATAAATCACAAGAAACCTTTCATTTATGTACTTTATCATGTATAAGAATGCATTCCGAAGCCATTCAAATATACCAACCGCTACGCTCTTGTAATTCATTAGTGCACAGATCAGGTGTTATTTGAATATTCTCGTTTTTTTGTAGGGTTTCATTATGTCATTAAGGTAAGTAAATAGATACTAATAATACATGTAGTTAAACTGTCTTGTTACTTTGTTTGTTTAGGCAACAAGTAACTTTGTCTTCATTATAAATGTTATTATAAAATATAAAGGTTTCTAGAATTTTATCTAAAGTCGCTTATCGATGTGAGTAATAAAATTATTTTAATTTAACTGTATGCTATTTAGTCCATAATTTGAAGTATTATTTTATCACGATTAAGCATGGTTACGTAATTACATAATTATATGACTTTCTTTTCATTGTCAAAAATAGATTTTATACTAATAAAATTATAAAAAAACACTTACATATGAAATCAAAGGGCTGCAAGCTCTGTGGTATTTTCTGATCTTTGCAATCTAAATCATACTGACTATCTGTATGTATTTTCCTATATAAGTTTATTTTTATATACTATAATTCATCTTACGCAGCGACTGCGTTAAGATTTTTTTTCTATAACAGTTTGAGATTGATACATATGGAATTTTGCATGACTAGAGTTGCATCAAAATTCATTTTTTATGACAGACACACTTTATCCTTGCATATCGTGGCTACTTCCTAAACCTGTTTAACACTGATAAAAATAATTTAGCGAAACTCTTCTCGCCAAAACAGTCCGACATGTATATATTCCACTACTCGGCAGTCAGATTTATTTGTGTACTACGCCCTGGAGTATTCAGTAATCGACATAGCTAAAAATAGCATTTTCATTAATTAAAATGATATTCATCCGCGAAATTTGTGATTGTAACCTCATATTTCTATTGACTAATCTGAACTTTCAATGCACTGTAATTCGTTAAATGCCTACATTAAAAAATCTGTCTTTTAAATTGCTGGTTTTTAAGCAGTTTTGAGTGAGAACTACTTTGCGTTGTTAGGTCTGTTAGGAAATTTTGTGTTAGACCGTGGATGTTAGCTATGTATTTACTGATCTTGCGATCAGAAAATACAAAAAGGAAACAACATGGCGACTATTATGTACAAGTAATTTCTACAATCTAAAGATAATGGTTTTGTAACTATAAACGTGTTATATATAGGTCATCCTTACATAATATAGAAGATATGTATTCAAAACAGGTGAAAAATATGGTCATCTTTGTGTGTACATGAAATACCAACAATGATAACACCAGAACTGTTTTCAGACGTATGTACTTATATCACTGGCACTGTGTACATACCTGAACATACGAGACTGAAGTCAATGTTTAAGGATTCCGTCCTTTAAGGCACCTATTGGTCTAAGTATGCTATATTTAGCTCTTGAAAAGTTAGTAGAATTTTCTATGAACAGTGTATACAAATATTGTAACTTTTTTCCAAAAACGTTATATAATCATTAAAAAATATTGCGTGCAGCTCGATACGAGTTATTCCGGTTGGGGCTATATAATACAAGGCAAGTTGCTACAATGATAAGTAACACATTAAGGTGTTCCCAAACCTTAAATGTAATATCTTTGGTTGGGTTTAACGTCGCACCAGCCCAACAGAGGTGATATTGCGACTTTCCAGTCTTACTGATGGAGAAAGTACACACAATCTACAACATTACATAAGTGAAATTTTAATGTCAGATGCCGTGTGGGAGTTGTTAAAAGTAACCCGGTTGTTCACTTCAGTGTTGTTATATTTTACTGGTCCACGGATTCAGCACTTTTAATTTTTGAAAATTAAGTACCGCTTAAGCCGATGCTAGGGTGCGTGAGGGATGTTGCACTTTATCATTATCGCTCATGTACAGACTTAGTCAAACCGATTCTGCAATTTTCATGTAAATTTGTTGTAATTAATGCTTCCGAGGGATCATCCTTCTTCCAGATTTTTATATTAATTATCGATTAAGCATAAATTGAACAATAGCATGAAATTTTCCAAAGATACTTTCAAAGGGATCATTGATGCCAGCACTATTAAGTGTTGAGAATTAAGTACCGCTGAAGCCGGTGCAAGGGACGTAAGGGATGTTGCATGTATTCATTATCCCTCATGTACAGACTCAACCAAATCGAGTCTGCAATTCTCCTACATAATTTTATTGTGATTAATGCTTCCGAGGGATCACTTTGTTTTCAGATGTTTATACTTCACAACAACAGGTGTCAAGTGCTGTGTGGCAGCTGTAAAAAATTGCCCCGTACTTCACTTTGAACAGTGTTGTTAAATTTTTCTGGTCCTTCGGGATCATTGATCCCAGCACTATTAAGTGTTGAGAATTGAGTTCCGCTCAAGCCGGTGCCAGTGGGCGTGAGGGATGTTGCATGTATTCATTATCCCCTATGTCCAGACTCAAAACAGAGTCTGCAATTTTCACGTAATTTTGTTATAATTTATGCTTCCGAGAGAGCACTTTGTTTCCAGATTTTCATAACCTCTGATCCCCTTTCAAAATGCTATTTTATTTAGTTCCGCCCATTGTTTTCTCGTTTAGGGTACACGCATTTTTTTACTTGGGGACCATATGCCGCTTTTCATGGAATGACACTTACGTGTCACAATTAAGGTTCCATGATAACCGCCATATCAACACATCTGGGGATGTTTCAAAATTCAAAATTTCAATTTTGCCGTGTTGGACTTTCTTTAGAGATTCATATTTTCTCTATTCTATACATATAATAATTTGCTATTATATGACTCATTTCATATTTTATCTGTTTTCTGTCCCGGGCCAGATACATATACTGAATTGTTTTAGCTAGCTGTATAAATGTATAAAATATGATAAACAAGATCAACAAAGAAAGGCGGCGTTCAATGAACACAACCCCTACCCGACTTATAAGTTCATTCCGTAGAGCATATAGAATTTCTTCCAATTTATATTAAACTAGGTTATCTAATTTATCATTTTAAATCACTTATGAACCCCTTGCTACATGATTTACAAATAATTCTTTCAGGGCTCACTACGCGGTTTGATTCGTACCTGATGTTGTAGTCTTCCCTCAGTTCTCCAATAGATGGCGTGTTCAAGCATTGCTGCGGGAAATTACAGAAAAAGATATTAAATTCTGAAGAAATTCACATATGTGATCATATGCAGAATTTTTTCATATTGATGAATCAGGATGACACTGCCTTAAACAAATGACTTATGGACAATACTTTGCTTTTAAGTAGCTGCCTTGCTCACAATGCGAGGACGGATGTTTGGATAGCATGAGGCAAAGCCAAAGGGCCGGTAGACCCTCAGGAGCCACTCTTCGATGTAATAAAAATATAAACCATGAGGTTGCGATCAGGACGATTTTTTTCTTCGAGAATTCAAAGCTCTGTATTGAGGACATTTTAATGTGTTTTTAATGCTACCTTGATGGGTTATCACTCAGGCTCGTATTCGTTCAGCCGGTGTGCACTACAATACCAAGGCTATTGACTGGACATATTTCATAAGAGAAATATTCAGGGATCGGAATATCAGGCTTCGCTTGCCTACCGCCGAAGTTGAATAATAAAGTTAATAATATCTGTCATATGTTGCGGTCCCCAATGCGAGATGAAATTTCCTCTTTGGCGGTAGAGTGAAATTTTACCAAGGAAATCTAATAAAAGTAAAAGTAAGCAGTCTTTACAATGAAATATTAATTCTTTCAATATTTTCAACGCATAATATTACATAACTGTTATACAGATACATTTGTTAACAAAAACTTAGGTACCTAATTCACTATTTAATATGCCTTTTTGCATTAATTTGATATGTGTGCGTAATTAACTCATGTATACACCTTTAAATAACTTCTGCGGATGTTTCTTAATTCAAAATTTTACTATTTCATGTTTAAATGTTGAATTCTGCTTAAGCCGGTGCTAGGGGGCGTGGACGGTAACTTGCACTTTCCAGTACCGTCCATGAACAGGCTCAATCAAACCGAGCCTGCAACATTTTCAATTTTGCCGTGTTGGGCTTTCTTTAGGGATTCTGTATTTATCAATTTTAATACTGTTAATACTGCCTTTTTGAAAAATTAATAATGCATGTATTGCAATATTAAATAAAAACTATGTTATCATTTTGAAATAAGTATGGTTGTTTGGTACGGTAGAGAGGAGTTCAAACACTCTTATACTTTATCCTGTAAAGGACTGACCCAATGCAACAATTATCCTATTAATTGAGCGCCACGTGCAAAAGGGAAGCACAATTGACAGCGATGGGTGGTCTGCGTACTGCAACTTAACAAATAAGGATACAGACATTTCTCTGTCTTACACAAATATTCTTTTAAAATAGAGTAACCGGGGCATAATTACGGTACATACAAATATAATCGAAGGGGCTTGGAAGCATGGTAATGGCCACTTTCGGAAGATGTTCAGAACAAAGTTAGGTCAATGGGCGGGTCACAAGGCGGAGATTATGTGGCGTGCACACATATGTGGCATTCTTTGATCTTCTGAGATAAATTTATACTCTAGATGACCCACCTCAGTATTTTTACACCAACCCACTGTTTGATTCCTGGCCCGGGACAGCAGGAAACAAGGAAACTGGACAATGGAACCAGGATTAACAGACGCAGGGAGCGAAACAAATTCGAGTGTAGACGAAAACACTGAATCTGGTTTTACCGGACCACCACCAATTCCGCAATATAGGCCTTCAGCACCTACACATATTGCACGTGAACCATTTCATCTGATGATGATTTCCATACTGCTGCGCAACGACAAAGGCAATCTGCAAATCTTCTGCCAGAAACAGTTGCATTATTATCAGACCCATACCCAGACAGTTCATCGGAGTCGCGCCTGGAACACCCGTAGTCGTCGCAGGAACCAGTAAAAATAAGAGTTCAGGTACAGGGAGGAAAACTTAGACGGAAAATTTTTGCCATCCTCCAGGATACGCACCGATAAAATTGGACAAAAACAAGGTCCCATAAGAAAAAAAAAACCGAACCCATACACGAAAGCCAATTATTTGGTGCGGACTTCTTCGGATGACGATTTTCAGTAAAGTCGGCAGATAATTTGTCCCAGATAAGGACCTTTACATAGATGTACAAAGTAGTACAACGATTTAGCCAGTCAGCTATACTATTAATATATAAGGAGTGTGTATTTGTTTCTATTCTCTGTTAACCTTCAAGAAGAAGATATTTACTTCATGAAATTTACTTTGACAGTTGTCACGTGTACTTAACAAAACGGCGCAAGGTAAGTTAATATTTTGATTTTTACTGCGCATGCGTGTGTGATATATTTTAAGCGCCTAAATGATTCAGATCAGTGGGGTTTAGCACATGGCTGTCATAATAAGTCGATTATAATTTTCTGCCCCGAGAGGCAGATAACCGGATATTGTCGTAAATTATTGTCAACTGATGTATTGAAGTTTTTTCGTCAGGAATCCACTTTCGAGAGTTATTGGCGTCCGTGCCGAAGCGCGGCGCTCTTATGGAATGAAATCAGATTTTGTGAAAGGGTGACAGCAACTTCTCGAGCCTTTTAGTCGGTCATAATAAAAGCCGATAATTCCGATCGGTATGAGGGTGCTTGATTATTAATTAAGAATTAAATGTCGCGATATGTTGCAATGAATAGCAAACTGGAGAATTTCGCAATGCAAACATTTTCAAATGAAATAACCTTTTCCGTCAATAAATCGCACTCTTCGGAGTACCGCTCATGCCGGTGCTAGGGGGCATGAGGGATGTTGCACTTTTACATTATCCCTCATGTACAGACTCAATCAAACCGAGTCTGCAATTCTTATGTTATTTTGTTGTGATTAATGCTTCCGAGGGATCATTTGTTTCCAGAATTTTTTATTTATCATTTTGTAGTACACAGTGGGTTATCAGGGTATGTTATTGTTGTTGTACATGTATCCTAGAATGATCAGTTGATGACCTAAATATTCCGAAAATCTATTTATAGATATATCTATTTATCACTCCTATCGGTAATTCCCGGTCTCTCCCGGTCTATAGTGACCGGCGAATAGTACCACACGTTTATTGTCCGGTCTCTCCCGGTTTTTGGAGTAGATGGTTGATATCGTTACAATTAACAAAAAAAAAAAAAAAAAACAACAAAAAAAAAAAAAAAAAAAAAACAACAACAATAGCATGTTTCATTTTATCTATATGAGATAGAAACAATAAATATGTACAATAATTTAGAAAAGGGTACATTTTTATGGTATTTATATGACATTATCAACTTTGAAACATTTTATTTAATTTGTTATCCGTGTTTAGTAAAGATGCCGAGGAATACAAATAAGATTTTATGAATTATTCAATTGATTGATAATTTAAAAAATGATAAAGAAAAATACAAATGTTCATGTACATGGTTTAAGAATAAACAATATTATATATTGAAAGATAAACCATCATTTACTGACTTTTTCCAGTTAAGTTTTGACTTATAATTGTCAGTTAATATGACAATTGAATTCTTAAAATTTATTTTACAATTTTAATAAAAAAAAGAGTAGTACGCTCGTAAACATAAAAACTCAGTATTAAAATAGAACATAAAACACAAAAAAGAAAAGAAAACAATATTCATAAAATTTGTATTTTTCTAATTAAAATTTATAGATATTACAATTATTGTATAATAAACAATTATGCTCAACATAATCAACATGTTAATATAACCAGTGTCATATTTTTACTAAGTATGAACAGATACCTTAATAGGGGGTCTTCGCTAATAGCGATAACATAATAAGGGACAATTACAAAGGTGTGGTACGTGTTCACCATGCGTTACACATATGGATTATAAATAATTGTATACATGTATATCCGTTGCTATTAATAACCACGGTCATAAAGAAAAATAAAAAGTAATATTCTAATCTCTAGCATGCCAATCAAAGTTCATAATGAACACGCTCATTCATAAGTGATTTACAATTCTGGTAAAAACCAATTAACCATTGAAAAGTGTATAAGAATATTTTGTCATCATATGTCTACTAGTTTATCTTCACTTGCTGCTTTTCTTACTTGGACGCCCTTTGATGCTTTGCATCAATGCTTTTCTTGTAAACATTGTTATGTTGACAAATGAAATTGAAAGGGACGTTCTTGAATTATGGATTTGGAACATATTAAATTATGATGTGTTTCATTTACATATTTCATTTGCTAACCTAGATAACTCCACATATGGGGCAGGCAATGTTTTAATTATGAGGCAGATTAAAAAGAAAATCTGGATCATAGCTCATAAGGGTAGGAGTCATCAAGAGGATTTCTGAAGTCAAAAATTGTTATTCACGAAACTGGATAGAAACTAGCAATGAGGGAATCTTCCGAATGCGAACGTGTCGTGACGTTTATAACGATCTTTTCATAGGGATTCTATTCCGCTTAAAAGGAAGTGCAATTTCTACTTAATGTTCTTGTTGCTTAATATTCATATTTTGTATCATACATCGCAAATAAACTGTTAGATCTTTTAGATCCAGCTTTGTAAAATAATCACGAAACGATCCCGAGAACCTCATGGACATTATAGAAACAAGACAGGTGCTTTCTCCCGTTCATCTTCAAATGAAAAGTATTTCGGTAATGGCTACGGATATAAACAACAGAGACTTACCGTCGAGAAATCAAACTTTGCTTTTACAACAAAAGTAGACACTTTAGAGAAAAATCCTGAAAATCTCGAGCGTGATATTTTGTTTTGTTTACAAAAACAGTTTGATATTCATTTCCATTTTAAATGGGACAGACTATTGTGTAATATCGTATTTATTAAATGGTTTTTTTACACTCCTGCGCCGCGGTTTATGCGATAAACGTACTGTCCATATACATTATCAACAAAATGTAGTACATGTAGGCAGAAAACGTTATTGTTATCAATTTAATTTTACACATGCTTAAAAAAACAAGACTTAACATTGTTTTATCCACAAAACCTGCATTTATATATATCCCTGAAATTTTATTAATATCGTCTCACTTCAGGCAATGAAACATACGCTTATAATGTTTTTTATTCGTTTATTGTGAGCTAATTCAGATCATCAACACATAATCAAATTAGTGACATTTTGAGCTATTTGCGATATATGGTACCCAGAAGAAAGGTGGAAGTTGTAATTGTAACCAGACGCCAGGTATTTGAAGTCGGCATGCCCAAATTGAACGGAGATGACATCTGCCGCCATATGTACCTGGTTCTCTTTCCATAACATTTCTTGCTTATTATCAGCACCACGACTGGTTATTAGAAGAACAACGTTATGTGCGTTTGGTCTATCACCGGATGTGGGAGTCAGCGCATGCTTGATGACGTAATTAAGCGCTTCAATAGTATCTCCGCGGTGGTCACCTCTAAACACTTGCGTTGATATAGCATGGAGTATGTCTGCTTTCGCGGGGTGATCATTAAAGTCAAATATAGGTAGAAAGTCATGTGAAAACATCCCGAGAGCCACGTGAATATCTGTTTTACTTACAGGTAGACTAGAAACAACATTTTGCAAAAACGAAATCACAGCGTTTTCATAGGGTTGAATTCGTGACGTATCATCAACAACTAACACCAAATCTTTGACACAGTCTGAAATAAGACGATGTACACTCTTTACCTAGTGCAATGTAATTTCCGTATACCACCCGTACTTAAAAACGGTTATTGAAAAGAACCACGTATAAAATTGTCGGAATTTTTACCGATGATGAGTAATCATGACTCTATGTCACCTCGACCACTCAGACACTTCGACCCCTCAGACATCTCGACCCCTAAGACATCTCGACCAATGACACTTAGACCCCGTAGACATTTAGACCTCTTAAATTGACGGGACATTTCGACCCCTTACACTATAATGTATTTGAAGTCGTTAAATTCGAAACAAAAAAATGTGCATAAAGACCTAAATATAAAATAAATGTAATTTGGTTACAAGAAAAGGAGCATGTATTGATTTTAAGATAATTGAATAATTTTTTTTACTTGTTACTGCCAAAGACTTTGCTATTGAAGCATATTATGGTAATATTTCACTCAAACTATGAGGAAAAAAATGCGTATATGAAATGTGAAATTTAATATTATGTAATTGAAATTAACTTTATTTTCCTTGTTACAAATTATATAAGAAATGGAAGAGAAAATTCTACGTATCACAATGTACATTGTAGTTGTAAAATATAGTACGTGTTATTTTCGAAATACGTTTAATCGAAATCAAGAAGATCGTTTTCAAATTACAACCCTTTATTTATTGATTGGTATTTTTTTTATTTCATATTGTAAAACATACTATAACTAGAAATGTGTCCATAGGACACGGGTGCCCCCACGCTCCACCTATTTGTCAATCTTATGTCTCTAGGTCTATTTTTTTTTGGCTACTTGTGCCCAAGTAAAGAACAAATACTACAAATACTGAATAAGTCCACAAGAAAACCCAAAGGTGCATAAGTACACATGCTGACCAGCACTCTTGTAAACTTTCAGGTCATAAACATTTTGAGTTACGTGCAACACAAGTTAAATTTTGTAAATTTTTACTAAGTCAAGGGCAATAATTCTAAAAAAACTAAAAATAGCCACACAAAAATACCATCCCAAGGTGCACAACTACACATGCTGATCAGCATTCCAGTAGGTTTCATGACTCTAGGTCAAATATATTTTTAGTTACGAGTGATACAAGTTGAAAATTGGAAATTTTTTCTAAGTCAAGGGCAGTAACTCTAAAAACACTAAAATATCCACACGAAAATACCCAGGTGGACAACTTCACATGCTGAGCAACATTCTTGTAAGGTTTCATGACTCTAGGTCAATCACTTTTTGAGCTACGTGCGATACAAAAAGGGAACGGACGGACGGATGGACGGACGGACAAGTGTAAATCAAAATGCCCCCCCCCCCATAGTGGGGGCACAAAATGAGATCACCGCTACTTTAAGAAGTCAATTCAATATACATGTATAATATAAATTAAATAGACATGTAAAATAATTCATCGCCAATACAATGGACATGTGTTTGTTATCATAGAAAAGTAGCATTAATCTTTACAAATTTGTAGAAATTGTAGGTATGAATGAACACGAAATGCACAAATCGTGCATTTTTTTATTACCATTATCATAATTCCTTCACCTTTAGCCTGGGGTCTGTATAAAGCTTGACAAAATAATATATTATAACTGCTATTTAGCCATCGTACAGGTCACTGTAACATAACATTAAATGAATAATAAACTAGAAATGTGTCCATAGGACACGGGTGCCCCCACACTCCACCGATTTGTCAATCTTAAGTCTCTATGTCAAATTTTTTTTGGCTAGGTGTGCCAAAGTTAAAAACTAAAAATATTTTGTTAAGTAAAGGGCAAATACTACTAATACTGAATTAATCAACAAGAAAACCCCAAGGTGCATAAGTAAACATGCTGACCAGCATTCCTGTAAACTTTCAGGCCTACAGGTCATAAACTTTTTGAGTTATGTGCAACACAAGTTAAATATTGTAAATTTTTACTAAGTCAAGGGCAATAACTCTAAAAATACTAAAATATCGAAACGGAAATACTCAGGTGCACAACTAGACATGCTGTGCAACATTCCTGTAATGTTTCATGATTCTAGGTCAAATACTTTTTTAGTTACGTGTGACAAAAGTTAAAAATTGATAATTGTTACTAATTCAAGGGCAATAACTATAAAAATACTAAATATATCCACATAAAAATACCCAGGTGCACAACTTCACATGCTGATCAACATTTTTGTAAGGATTCATGACTCTAGGTCAAATATTTTTTTGAGTTACCTGCGACAAGTTGAAAATTGGAAAATTTTACTGAGTCAAGGGCAATAACTCTAAAAATATCCACACAAAAATACCCAGGTGCACAACTACACATGCTGAGCAACAATCTTTTAAGGTTTCATGGCTCTAGGTCAAATACTTTTGTAGTTACGTGTGACTCAAGTTGAAAATTGGAAACGTTTACTAAGTCAAGGGCAATAACTCTAAAAGTACTAAAAATATCCACACGGGAATACCCAGGTGCACAACTACACATGCTGAGCAACAATCTTGTAAGGATTCATGACTCTAGGTCAAATACTCTTTTAGTTACGTGCGACACAAGTTGAAAATTACAAATTTTACTAAGTCAAGGGCAATAACTCTAAAAATACTAAATATTCACATGAAAATACCCAGGTGCACAACTTCACATGCTGATCAACATGTTTCATGACTCTAGGTCAATTACATTTTGAGTTACGTGCGGCACAAAAAGAAAACGGACGGACGGACGGATGGATGGAAGGACGGACGGACAAGGGTAAATCTAAATGCCCCCCCCCCCCTCTATAGTGGGGGCACAAAAACGATTTTAAATTATTGTTTTCCCTTACGTATTCAATATTTTATCGGATCCTTTTTTTGAATATTACCTATTTGCTTTAAATTATTTCTCGAAGTATCTGTGATTCTATAGTACAAAAATTGAGATATGGGTCGAAATGTTTTACCCACTAGGGGTCAAAGAGTCATGTAAAAAGAGGTTTTACTGTCAAGGGGTCTAGAAGTTATCTTAATATCTTAGAGGTTCGAGAAGTCAAGGGGTCTAAATGTCTACTTGCGTAATCATTTGTCAGTAAAAGTAAATGTTAATTATACTATTGCAAATGAAACACATTCTTTAACACTGCTTGAAATCTTAAAATATGAAATGACTTCATTATTATCATTATCAAAACAACATAAATTAGATACACGTTTCGGATTGACTAAGTTTAAGTTTACAAATAGGTTATATGGCAAAATATAAAATTGTAAAATTTTAGAAGGCAACGGTGATAAAAAAATTTCGTTAATACACGAATATATAATAATATGTCAAAGTGTTATCTTACAAATTAATCATGCTGAATTGTTGTTTTGTTAATAAATAAAAGACAATTCATAGATTTATAGCTGTTCTACATAGATTATACAAAGTGTCAAATTAAAGCAAACATAACTTACACGTAGTAACTATAATTGTAATAATAGATGGAGTGACACGTCAGTTGTAAAGTCATACATATAACATTTTATTTATACAACAAACATATAAGAGAAAACTAGGGGTGAAATACATTACGTGTTATAGGTTTTGGTGTCTGTGGTGCAAGATGGTTACAACGGTCTTCCATACAACAAGTAACTGTTAAATCACGTTGCTTCACATGCCTTTTCCCGAACACTCCGGCGCTTAATGGATGGTCACATTCCTTAAAATAGTATACAGGTTTTTTGCTACGTATTGTACCATTATAGTGTAAGAGCAGACTTGCTGGATTTAAGATCAGAAACGGATTGAGATCTTAAAAATATCTTAAAAATGTTCCACCTCAGAAAAGTTGTGTTATCAATTTTGACCTGTACATAGTTTCAAACATTATTGCCACAAAATTCGGAAATATATCAAGAAGTTCTTGTGAATGTTATTATATCTTTTTGATGTGGTTTAATATCAAGTTCACGGAGAGAATAAATGTATTAATGTTTCCTTTCTTTCAGCTAGAGAAAAGCGACATGGTTGTTTTTTATTGTCGAAACATCTAGAAATATCCAGAGTCACAGTTCCAGAACTGATAGAAAACATAGAAGATATGGTCTTGTCAAAGACTTTGTAGATATGTTTAAATAGAAACCGCAAGGTCTGTGTCCAGAATTCTGACAGCTTTTGGGAATTAACATATCAAATTTATCTTATAAAGACTTATAGTCCTTCAAGTTAAATTTTCTATCATCTTAGTCTCAAAATTGTTTATCTTCAATTAAAACTTAGAATGTTATATAAAAATTGATAATCTTTTACTTTGCCTCTTCTTGATGACTTGAAGAATTTACTTCAGACTTTAAACGTGTGTCACATTTAGACACGGTTCACTAATGGACCTTCCAAGTACTATTTCCGTTTAAATATTCAAGTGACATTTTTCATGTCTTCCTTTATTATATTATTTTTCATTTTAATTTAAAAGTTAAAAAGTGTGATAATACATTATTTGATGTTTAGTTATTTAACCTCACCCACCTGTTTATCTGCGCATGTCAACTCATATTCGTGATGTCCGTCATAGATAGATTTCAGTTCCTTTCTCATGCACACCTTCAAATCATAAACCAAATTTACGTACCATCATCTTTATACATTTTGAATACAAATTCATCATTACCTGCTTTTAAATCTGTTTATGAAAGCTGTCCAATGCGATATGATACGAATTAATGTTCTGGTATAATAAAATTTGTGTTACAGAAAGTGTTTGTATTTCTTTTAACTTGAAACTTCATACAGAATTTGTAATACAATGTAATCATTATAGCTTTGATAGTGAACATAAACGACACATAAACATTGTACATCTAAGGGCAATTATAGAAGTAATATCTATAGGACCGCAAATTCCTTGTCTTCTTTTGAACAGTCAAATACCCTTCAGATTAGGTCTGTCCTTTAGGTAAAAATACTACATTGTAATATTGTCAGTGATCGGCTGCACAAAGTGCATGACTGACAATGTGAAGTTTAGTAAAAAAAAACTAATGTAGTATTGTTTTCATTAAAACAATAAACTGTTTCACAAGTCTCTCTAGACTAATTCTTCACTCGGATATTTGCATAAAGTATATAGAAGTCCTGTCCGATCGGCAGAAATTTCAATAAGAAGGGGCGTGGGTGTTTCATCTTTAGAAACATATAGCAAAATATTTGGCTGGTCAACCTTATATATCAAGATCAGTTTAATGTGTCAAGCATGCCATTTTTCTAGAAGCGTCAATACTCTGTTGGTTTAGTGATTATTTCTTATAATTAAAGTCTATGGGAAAATTTATACAGACGTCTGACGTAAAGTGACGGAATGTACCGATGTACAACGAACCAATCAACGCTTGGTCTATTTCAAAACTTTAGCAGGATAAAATAAACTTACGAATCCTTCAGGACATGTTTTTACTGTCTTACAATGATCCGTGTCCAGTACTGTTCCATTACAATGATAGCATTCAATAGCTGAAATAATTACAACACTTTTAGAAGATTTTTTATTTATCACGGGTAAATTATAATTATTATTTTATTACTTACATCATTATCATTATTATTGTTGTTGTTACAATGGTTTAAAGAATAATGCTCTAAAAGTAAAATTGGCAATATGATTTTAAGCGTTCCACACCTTCTGTTAATAAGTTTAGGAAACATCTCCGACCACTCTTTGTGAAATTAGAATACGAGTCTGCTTTCACTTGGTATCGAAGATCAAACATATATATACTTAATTATTCACCAGCTTCGAGTTCAATATACTTAACATTATACACGATAAATGTAGCGGTAAGTGGGAAGTTGATAACACTTACAAATTGATATCTTTAACAACTCTTGCAATACTAGAGGGTTAATGAACCTTTTAAATGTATTAACATTTGCAGAATAACGAGGGTACATTTAAAGCCCATGTCCAAAGTAGTCCGACCGCTTCTGCAAATTAAAATGCACGAAAAAAGGTACATTAGCGCTATTTTTTGTATTAAAGTATATTATATACGTCTAATTCCCCCATTCCGTTGCAGAAATCAGTGTTTATGCCAAACTGTTTGTGTTCCTGTGCGATGTCATTTGACAGTAAAACTACGGGACCGTCATTGCATTAGGCTGTTTTACATTGCGCTCCAAGTCACGCATATCAAAACACGTGCAGTTACGAAAATTGATCCGTAAATGCATGTTTTGTCCTCCTTTAATGTATACCAGCGTGTGCAGATTTTATGCAAGAACATAACCATTAAAAGACAATATCTTACGACAAAGTTTACAAAAAGCAGGACACGCAGTTTTAGCAATTGTTTGGTCCGAACAAAAATTAGGTCGCTGTTTAAACATCTGTTCACAAGCTGACGTGTCAATATCATTACAACCAAACACTGTGATGGCGCACACTAAAGCACCTTCAAAATGGAAAAATATCACACATATAATATTTAAATTGTTTCTATTTACTGCAGCCGTATAAATGAATTATACAGCATTTTATTCTCCATGTGTATATACAATAAAAATACATACAGGAATATAATCTAAACAGTTGTGACACAATAATTTCAACACTTATAATCAGATTATATGTCACACCGACACAAAAAGGTTCATTAAACGACTTTCCAGCTTGAGTGGAGAAAGACGACCTCATATGTCCATTCGTGCATATTTCAGGCACGAACGGGAATATGAGTAGAACCACCGACCTTCCGTGTGCTAGCTTTCGTACAAAGAGGAACCAACAATTCCGGACGGGATTTGAACCCACAGCGGTAGAAGCAAGTTATTTGAAGACAGCAAGGTCAACCATGAGTACACACGCTTCAATTGTAACACAAACAGAACTTGCGGCTGGAATATGACCTTATCAAAATTACTTATATGCGGTTTAAAAAAGTAATTTCTAGTTTAACGCGAAATGTTCGCATTATTCTATGTCATTTAATGCCTAAGGCAACATGTAAATGTTGTTATAAAATACTGTATAAAGGTTTCTAGAATAAATAGGATTTCAAAGCGGGATTAAAATTTTCTCTTAAGTCGCTCACCGGTGTGAATTATGAAACTATTTTGATTTATGTAGTCCATAATTTCATCACGATCACGGTTACATAATTATATGACATTCTTTACATTGTTCAAAAGCGGATTTTTATAAAGATAAAAAACAACAAAAAACACTTACATATAGAGAAAGGAAACAACATGTCGCCTTCTATGTTCAAGTGATTTCTACAATCTATAGATAATGGTTTTGTAACTGTAAATTTGTTATATATAGGTCATACTTACATAATATAATAAGATATGTATTCAGGACAGGTGAAAAAATATGTTTTTTTTTGTGTACATCAAATACCAACAATCAAAGGTGCTAGTGGCATTGATTTGACCTAAAATGCGTTTAACGTTGTTATTTATGCAATAAAAATATCCATATATTGGAAAATAAATGAAAAAAAAAACAACATTTTTTTGTTATATTGTTATAGACGTACGCAACATTCAAGTACGAAAATTATTGGTATGTCCGTTCTCGGTGTCAAAATTTTCCACCGGATGGAAATATCGTCGGATTTTCGCATGGAATAAAGACTATAAACAAATCCTAACTTACATGCAAACTACCGCAGTAAAGCCGGAAAGTCAGAAATCACCCAAAAGGTCCGAAAGATGAGACCGTCATGACATGTACAATGAAGCTTAGTATATACTCTTGAAATGCATCAACAAAAAGATCAAATGAGTCAAACACACATACAAACAACTGGAATTTACATACTTTTAAATGATTTTATCCTCCAGGAGTGGCCTTAAGTCCTAAGTAATTGTAATTTACGAAAGAATATACATGTAGACGGCAATTCCTAAATCAGGTTCCCCGTTCCGCTCTATGTCAATGTATGTGAAACCGGAAACCGGAGAATACTTCCGGTAGGAATTACCTCTAAAAATATTGTCCACCTTAACATACGAGACTATGTCTGTTGTCTAAGTTTAATGAGGGTTCCATCCTTTAAGGCACATATTGGTCTATATATAGTCCTTGAAAAGTTAGAACAGTTTTCTATGAACAGTGTATACAAATATTGTAACTTTTTTCATTGGTCGTTAAAATCAGTTAAAAAATATTGCGTGCAGCTCGATACGAGTAATTCCGGTTAATGCTATAGAATACAAGGCAAGCCGCTACAATGCTATGTTACAAATTAGGGTGTTCCCAAACTTTAAATATAATATCTTTGGTTGGGTTTAACGTCGCACCAGCCAAACAGAGGTGAAATTGCGACTTTCCAGCCTTACTGGTGGAGGAAGTACTAACAAACATCTACAATATCACAAGTGAAATTTTAATTTCAGATGCCGTGTGGGTTGTTATATTTTCTGGTCCTTCGGGATCATTGAGAATTTCACTTGGCGGGGATTCATTTTATTTACACTGTCTAGTTTATAGGAACATGGTGGGGCTAAGAGCGAGGTTTGGTGCACCATTAACCGGTTTAAACTCCCCAGCAGATATTATTATGCTGCTGACCGTTCCAAGGCGGCGCCCACTGTGTTCCTCAGATGTATGTCTATGTTGTTTCATACTGTTTTGGTGACACTTTTACTTGTGTCCCTTGTTGTTTTCTTGTCTACGGTAAGTATCTCATTGCCTCTAGTTCTTATTTCTTTGATTACGCCCCCCCCCCCTTCCCCCGGTCTCCTGTCCCCTTACCCTTTGTGGGCCTATTATTATTTTCTTTGAATTCCTAATCAGTTACAAATTATTTATCATTTAATGATTAACCTGTCCGTGCTCTGTCTTTGCCCTGTCCTGTCTTTGTTTGGGGTCCGCCTGGGCTCCTTGCCATTGGTTTTTGTTGCTGGGTCGTGTGGGGGTTGCGTTCGTTGAACGCCGCCTTTCCTTGTTGATCTTGTTTATCATATTTTGAGAATTGAGTACCACTCAAGCCGGTGCTAGGGGGCGTGAGGGATGTTGCACGTATTCATTATCCCTCATGTACAGACTCAATCAAACCGAGCATGCAATTCTCTTGTAATTTTGTTGTGATTAATGCTTCCGAGGGATCAGTTGTTTCCAGAATTCACTGCGGATGATCACGTGATCAAAATCGTACAATGGGCTCATAAAATGGCGGCCTAAACGCTCGGTAAAAGCAGTGAAATTGAGGTAAGCATACAATTAACGTTAAATTTATATGTAAAACTAGGGCCGCACGGAACTTGTGTGTAAAAACCACGTACTGTTTTGTTATTGGTTACTTTGTAGCTCTCTCTGTTTAGGCCTGAAAGTCGAAAAAGTTGTTTTGGGTGATAAGTACAATGGCCGAACAGGTAGTAAAATACGTTGTTTGTAAAGTTGCTTAACGAAGTTGTGCATCTTTTTAAAAACGATTACAATATTGTGGCCGAACCAAATTTAATGAGTACAATGGCTGAACGATTTTATTGCCTGTGCTATTTCGTCAAATTTTTCATTGAATTATGCTTGTTTCTCGCTACAAACATGTACATTATATAGAATTTATTTCACTAGCAAATATATGTTTCAATTATTTTGGAAATAAAGTCAGTTTTTTTTGTTTTTGTTTTATTTCAGACGCAGAAAAGGTGGTTCCTTTAAATGGAAAGCATGTTTACGTTTATCTTTGGAATATATACATGTAATGTATATATAAGATTTTAAAATTGTGCTTATATTATCGTTAAATGCTTCATCACATCATATTAAGTAATTCAATATCTTTACAGGAATTGGAAATTTCTTATGTGTTTAATTGCCGGCATTATGGCGAATCGTATAGAAAACGATCAGCTTCATGTCGTCACGAGCAGGTACACAAGGGGAAGGTACCCCATACATGCTGTGGGACATGGTGCCTAAGTCTCGGCAAATTGCAAAGACATTGGTTTGTAAATTGCATATTATACATGAAGTACATAGATGTCTGATATTTCTACATACTGCTTGAGTGTCTAAGATGGAAAGAACGCAAAGAAATGGTTACATGTAAATAAAGAAAAGCTATTAAGAAAAAGAAATTAGATATACCTGGAGCAATATATTGCCCCATTATCTGCTATAAGCAGCGACATACAATGTACCCTTTGTGTTGAGAACGCATTATATATGTTCCTAAATAGGTACAATTAAAGTACAACATTTTTATGAGGACAAATATTATGAAACCCGATTATCATAGCTCCAACACCGTTAAACACAACATGAGAGCTATATTTACATCAATAAACTATTTCTAATTCTAATTTGTTTCAGAGCAAACAACCATGGCGGAGCAAAACTGCATCAGTGCGAAGTTATTTAGTTCCGCCCATTGTTTTCTCGTTTAGGGCACACGCTTTTTATTACTTGGGGACCATACGCCGCTTTTCATGGAATGGCACGGAAGTGTCACATTGAAGGTTCCATGATAACCGCCGTATTAACACATCTGCGGATGTTTCTAAATTCATAATTTTACTATTTCATGTTTAAATGTTTAATTCTGCTTAAGCCGGTGCTAGGGGGCGTGGACGGTAACTTGCACTTTCCAATACCGTCCATGAACAGGCTCAATCAAACCGAGCCTGCAACATTTTCAATTTTGCCGTGTTGGGCTTTCTTTAAGGATTCTGTTTTTATCTATTTTGTTTGTTCTAGTCATCGTCACAAAAGTGCTTCTTACACCTGTATTAGGTCATCAGACTTTATTTTGATATCATATTTTTATCACGTGCAGAAACGTCAATAAAGTTTATTGAGTGAATAATTTGTGTTGCTTAATCAGATTTTGTCGCGAACAGACTGCCTGAAACGGTGTTGATCCGCCATGGTTGTTTGCTCTGAAACAACTGAAACACATTAGAATTTTAGAAATACTGATGTGTCCCGGGTATCAGGCATTAATCAATAATTTAACTGTGAACTGTGTAACAATTATTTATTTAGAAAACTTACCTACATGAACTTTACTTTATCAGTGGGTTGTGAAATCCAGTACCAGGTGTTGACTTTAACAAGGCATAAAATGAAAAATGAACTGTGCATTGACATTTTAAACAACACACTTTAGCTCATTTAAACAGGTTATACCAATGATATTAGCTGCTGGTACTTTATGTGTAAGAAATCATCCGTGACACTTTAGCTGTAATTGTTTGTAAACAATCCTTTTAATCTTGACTTTAAGCTGTCATAATTCCTTAAATGTTTGTATTTTTATGTAAAGTCTGATTTCCTCAGTTGAAGAATGTAATTTTCTAACAAACTGCCAAGTAACTTTGTTAAATTCCACATATTTCACTGTATTTTCCTTGAAATGTAATTTTCATGTGTTGGAAATTTACTGTAAGCCGCCATTTTGTACTTTGCATTATTGGCTATTTATAGCTGTTCCATCGGTTAGTTTCTGTAAACACTAAGTAGGCAGAAGATGTTCCGTTTTGGTACGCAAGAAATAACATCATAAAAGGTAGAGAATTTTTGGAAATAGTCGTTATTGTATTTGCTTATAGCTCTATTATTGTAAAATTTTCCTCCATTAAAGTTAAGTTCAGTCCGATCAGTTTATGATCGTTTCCGATCATTTTTGTCTGACAGCCGTCAACCATTTTTGGTTGTTGATCGTTTTTCTACCATTCCAACCACTTTTGGGCAGTGGTTGGGCGTTTTCATATAAATACGGCGAAATCAGCCGTTTGAGTCAGTCTAGTTTTGTCTTTCTTAGAAGCAGCATCCCTTTACGCTGTCTTTGACTCTTAGAAAATTTGAAGCATTAGAAATTTTGGCGGCCATTTAACTTATTGTATAAATTCGTCTGCGGTCTAGCGCCATTAATTTTAGTAAGCAAGATTCTTTATAGAAAGACGATTTATTTACAAGATACTCATTTTATAAGAACTTACATCATAATTTGTTACTATCTCGCATTATATAATTAATATTTATTGACTTTGAACATTATTTTTCTGCTGTTATTGATGAATGATATAAGCGGCTACGGTTTTACTGACTTGCATATATTTTTATGGAACGCCGTTAACGTCTTAATTTAATACGCGATTATATCAGCGAAATTTTGATTTAAATGCATCCTGTGCTATACTAAAGTAAATTATTCATAAGTATCATAAGTTAACAAACTCATAAGTTGTATTAACATCTAAATATCTGATATCTGTGTGTATTTAATTACAAATGAACATTGCTCATCTTTTCACTGTGAATAATTGTGACAGTTGCTGCTATATATAATAACTTATATATTATATTGTGTGTTGACATTAATTTATTTATACACAAAATAAATTTTGTTGAAGTGTACATCTGATTTGTTCTACATTTTTAATATACATATCTGGTTCAACTGCTATTAGAGGACTCATCTGCAAAGTCTTTTCCTAATTAATTCGAACCATTAGTGCAGTAACATCCCTATAAGATTGCAAAAGAAAGCGCTACCAAAAATAGATCAACAAACAACTCCTGCTAAAGCCCTGTACTGCCGGCACGCGACATACTATATTTCGTGGTGGAAAGCGGTGGGATCTGATTCAAAACACGTCAGATCCAGTGATCGAACCAACACTTCCAAGTATATAGAATCATTTATCCAGATTTACCATAGCATCTTTGTTTTAAGATGGCCGAACCAAGAAGTGTAGATAGCGAAGGCATTATTTCTTTTAAAGAAAATCAAAATATAAGTTGTAATGATGAGCCTTCTGATGGTTGTGACACAGATTATTTAGACGTTGACTCAGATGCTGGTATCCATCTATCGAGGGAGATCACAACAGGTAATGGTGATTCACAAAAATGTGGTTATACAAGAGATGTCAGTCATGATGAATGATGTAACAAGTGTACTTAGAGATGTAGTCCTAGAGTTGAAAGACTTAAGAAAGTCGACTTTGCAGGCAAATAATAGCAACAATCAACCTGATAGTATTATTTCAAATTCTCGTACCAACAACATGGAAAATACACAATCACACACGCATGTTAACAATAATGCTGATTCACGACAAATTAGAATGGACAGTGTAGGTGACACGCAAAACCAGAATGGTAATCGTGAATGTACAACTACCCCAAGTTACCCCCACTATCGTGAGTTCGTACCCAGAGTCCATGTACAAACTTATGGTAGATACAAACCCCCTTACAGCTCCACTGATAATGACAATGCTTATGACAGCAATGCTTATCAGTCTTATTATGCTGATCCAACTTGGTACAATAGAGGTAATTACACAAATGGTCTTCCATACAACTCAAGAGCCTCACATAGCAGCATGCCTGTTAAGATTCCAGCATTCACTGGTAATGAAGATTGGGTTGTTTGGATTACACGTTTTGAAGCTATTGTGCAGAGATGGGGTTGGACCGAGAATGAGATGCTTGACCAGCTTTTACCGAGAATCGAAGGACACGCAGCGAATTTTGTGTTTTCACAGCTACATCCGTCACTTCTACATAGTTATAGAGACCTTAAGGTTGAACTTAACAACCGCTACAGAACTATTGAGACACCAAGACTATTTGCTTCTAAGTTCAGCAAAAGATCACAAAAGGTTGGTGAGACTGCTGAAGAATTTGCCGCAGAATTGAAGGTCCTATATGATAAGGCGCACGGGTTCCGAGACAGGAAAACAAGAGATGAAGACCTGGTGCGTAGGTTCCTTGACGGACTTCGAGACGACGAGATAAGGTTTGCTGTTGAATATGGTAAAGAACCAGAAACAGTAGACGAAGCTGTCTTTCATGTGGTCAACTACATACAGACCAGGAGAAATAGAGAGGGAAGAAACAGGGAAAACCTTAGAAGAACAAGTCAGTGGACAGATAAAAACTCAGATGATGTTGTACCAAAAGAAAATAACCATTCCAACTTGCACAGCAGTAATCAACAGGATAAAACAAATAGTTATTTTAAGAAATCTTCATCTCGTGCTGTAAACACACTCGAAGGCACAAGTGAGCGTAAAATGTTAGAGACTGTTCTAGAAAGACTAGAAAGGCTCGAAGATAGATTTGGTCAAGGTAGACAGAAACATAATTCAAAACAGCGTAGTGAATGCTACAATTGTCACAAACTGGGACATTTTGCACGAGAATGCCCAGAAAGAGCAGCAGAGCCAGAACCAAGGTACAAGACCTCTAAATATGATTTGAATAGCAACACTAGGGATAATTTAAACTTCATGGGACCAACTCTTGCGGCCGAAGAGGGGTCCTGTTAGAGCAAGTAGGCCAAGAGAACATTGATATTGATACCGTGGCTAGAGAGGAAAGGTACTCTGATAAAAGAGCGAAGGGATTTGGCAGGTCTGCAGAAGCTAGTGAGGTGCCAGCTGATGATAAGGGGCAGGTAACTAGCATGGGGGCAGACGAATCTGTCAATGAGCCATTCGAGGTTGTAGGAAAGAGCAGAGTTAGGCAATGTAGAAACATGAGCGATGGTATTTATATCAAGGATCTGTTGAAGATGTACCGATAGTTTTTACCAGCAGATACTGGGGCATCTAAGTCTGTAATTTCATTTCGTGTTTACAGCAAGATAAGCAAAGATAAGAAGCCGATTTTGAAGGACTCAGCATGTTTGCGAGGTGCAGGTGGGGCGCCAATAAAGGAATATGGCAAGGCAACATTCGCGATGAAACTAGGGTCGTTGGAGCTTGAAACTGAAGCAGTTGTAGCGGATATCAGAGATGACGTACTGATAGGGGTCGACGTTTTGTGTGGCAAAGGTAGGGAAGCAGCTGACCTTTTGCTTAGTCGAAATGTACTTATTCTTCAGGGAGTTGAAATACCATGTTTTCAGGTAGGCAAGGGCTGCAGCTCCAGACAAGTATCAGTCGCAGAAAATGTTGAAATACCAGGGCAAGCTGAGATGCTTATTGATGTGTATGTCAATAGAGTCGAGGAAGATGACATTGACAAAGAAGCTGAGTATCTTGTTGAACCTACAGATTGTTTTGCTGCAAATTATAAACTAATGATGGCCAGTACTTCGGTTGACATCAACAAAGCCACAACATTCCAAGTTCAAGTTTTAAATCCATTTTCACATCCAGTTTCTTTAAGGCAAGATGCTATAATAGGCAAGGCAGAGAAAATAGAAAGTGAAGGTAATACCATCATTGAGAAGAAAAATGCAATAGTAAGTGAAATTCTTAAAAGTGTGCGTAGGGTAGATATCGCAAATATGTTAGATATTAAAGAAATGCCATTTAACTTGATAACCGGAGACAAAGCACATGATCAGATAAAAGCTCAGGTTACGACATCAACCGGGAATAAGACAGAAGAGGAAAAACAAGTCATTGGACCGTTTGAGAAGGATGATGATACTTTCTTCAAACATGAGAAGGATCTATACCTTGGTTGTTTAGCAGGTGCATACAGGTCAACTCCCAATGAAACAACCAAGTTGACCCCAAATTTGATGACTATTGGGCGAGAAATTCGTTTACCTGCTGACCTTATATTTCAACACGTGGATGGCACAGCTGGTACAGTCACAAATCTTGGTGATTATGTACAGAGCCTAAAGGATAAAATGCTTCACGCACACGAGGTTGCCAGGCGACATTTAGGTGCCAATGCGAAGAGACAAAAAGAAATCTATGATGCTAAGTTGTCCTTCACAAAGTATTCAGCCGGTGACTTGGTATGGTGCTTACATGAGACAAGAAAAGTTGGCGTAACACCGAAGCTGGAAAAGGCATATGATGGTCCATTTGTGATTAAAACTAAAATGTCAGATATCAACTTTGTACTTCAGGTTGATGAAAAGGGGACAGAAAGACTTGTGCATCATAATAAGCTTAAGTTGTATCTGGGAAAAAGTCCACCGCTTTGGGCAGATCGGTTAGCCAAGAAGTTAAAATCATGTTAGATGATTACGCGGTTTTATCAAATATTGTGTTAATGTGTAACATGAATATATGATTGTGTATATATATATTACATAACTTAAAAATAAAACTTTTGTTTTTTGTACTTTTTTGTGTATATCGTTAGTTTAGACTATGTGATGAAAATAAACGTTTTGTTCTTTGTAAAAATTCATTAAGATAAATATGTGTTTACAATGACTGTGTAACATTAAAGTGCAGAAAATTTTAGACAAACGATAAACTGTCAAATTTACTTTTAAGAAACGCGTACATTTTAGCCCGAGTTTGCTGTCAGTAACATGGTCGTAAAGTTCAAACATGAAAATAAAGTTCGCGTAAATACCATATGAGCGAAAGTGTCATTGCGAATTTGTGAGTCTTTGCGATTTTCGACGACTAATACATCAACCATCGTTAAATAACACGGAAGGGCATCGACACGGTTGTCTAAGAACAAAAAGAAGTCTTCTTCGTTCGAGTCAGTGAGCCACACCGCCTTTGATATAATGTGACTATCACTTGAACAATCCTTTCTTATTCTTTCAGATTGGCATGTCTCTGTCACAGTTTCGTAACAGAGGGCGAGCATACAAGTGCAAGAGGTGCACTAAGGTCCAGCGAAAAGGTAGAATGGTTGCACACATACTCAAGCATCATGTACCATTTGATAGAGTACCGTTTGCATGTTCTTTGTGTGGGTTCCGCTGTCTGGATAAGCAAGCCTTGATGGACCACATAACCAAATACACGAGACATAGGGAGGAGGAAAGTCGCTATGGTACTCCCGATTACAAAAAGATCTTACACATGGCTGGTAATCCGTACCAGATTGGGGATGATGACATGGAACAGCTGTCAAGGGATGAGTCCCTTAGATGGCACGCCAGGAACCAAATCCAAGAGGGGCCAGATGACAACGATTGTTTTTATGAAGAGGACGAGGAGGTAGTTTCAGGGGGCATGGTGTTACCACAATGGATGGCTGGAACAACAGTTCTGGGAAAGACTGCCACTGCACCACCATCCACTCCAGCTATAACCAAGCCAACTGTGAGGACCCCTCTTCAGACACTGCCTATGCTAACTCAGCACGACTTAGCTGAACTGTCGTACAGACCTACACAACAACTACCACAACAAGGACGAACTCCACAGCAAAATCAACAATTAAGCCATCAACGTCAGCTCTTCACCATCAATAGTAACGACCTGCTTTCATTCCAGACCACAACCACGGATTTCCATTCTAACCAGAAAGACACCAACAATAACTTAATGGACGAAATTTTGAACACACCCGTAATTAACCGGAGAAGTCCACTTAACACACCCTGTCTTGATGAAATAGTTGTGCAAGAAAACTATGCCAACGACCCCTTATTTCGGGAAGATTTACAATCTGACAGCTCTAGAATGGAACCACCAACCAAACGACAAAAGACGACAACAGACAGGGAGCAACAGACAGAAGACCAAGAAGCAGGTACGACACCCAACATAACGAAGGCCATCAGTGATGCCGCCAAACTCATCGCTGATGCCATAAATTGTAATACAAGTGCTGTTCAGAGTAATGAAAAAGCCCTTCATAAAATTGGAGATGAACTCGTCAGGGTGGAGAGGAAGCTTTTTCAAATTGAGCGCGTATGCACGATCATGCAACAACAACAACATCAACAACAGGAACCTCATCATAATGAACATTCAGAAAATAAGGAAAACAAAAAATCGAAACAAGCATTCAAGAGTGTAGTTAAAAAATGTGAACTGAACAATAACAATAAAGATGTATTTGATGGACTTTTAATAATCAACCTGCTTAATACTATAATGTGATTTTAAAACACAAACATGGACATTTATTACGATTTAACAAAAGTGAACAAATGAAAATACAGTTGAATACATATAATTTGTATTGACTTTAAGACAATACAGTGATGCTCCAAAAGTGAATTATCAGAAATTACAAAATAAGCTGTACATGTTATTAACTTGAAGAAAATGTGTATGAACTTTATGATGTACAGTGACGTTTCAAATGTGTATGAACTTTATGATGTACAGTGACGTTTCAAACGTGCATGAACTTTATGATGTACAGTGACATTTCAAATGTGTATGAACTTAAATATTTATAGTGATGTTTTTAAATGCGTACAATCAGAAACTACAATATATTGAGTATATTAACTGGAAAATAATACAGTGACGTTTTCAAATTGTGTATAAACTTAATGTTTTGAAAGTGAACATTTAGACGTAATATTTGAGAGAAGACTGTATAGACATTGATTATTATGGTATAAAGTTATGTTGCAATTATGGAGAAATAGACTTACAATTTAAAGGAAGTGTATATAAACTTTGTGATATACAGTGACGTTCTAAAAGTATTAACTGTAAAGTTGACATATTCTAGTCACTTGAGATTATTGAATTTATATTATTTCAAGTGCATGTAATCATATTGAATATTTTTTACAAAAAATATTTTATTGACTTTAATGTTCTGTGTCGAACAACTTGTGATAATTAATATGTTAATCTTAAAATTTTAACTTGTGTTAAATGTATGGCAACAGGAGTTTAGCCATAAGAACCAGGGGGTAATGATGTGTCCCGGGTATCAGGCATTAATCAATAATTTAACTGTGAACTGTGTAACAATTATTTATTTAGAAAACTTACCTACATGAACTTTACTTTATCAGTGGGTTGTGAAATCCAGTACCAGGTGTTGACTTTAACAAGGCATAAAATGAAAAATGAACTGTGCATTGACATTTTAAACAACACACTTTAGCTCATTTAAACAGGTTATACCAATGATATTAGCTGCTGGTACTTTATGTGTAAGAAATCCTTATCCGTGACACTTTAGCTGTAATTGTTTGTAAACAATCCTTTTAATCTTGACTTTAAGCTGTCATAATTCCTTAAATGTTTGTATTTTTATGTAAAGTCTGATTTCCTCAGTTGAAGAATGTAATTCTCTAACAAACTGCCAAGTAACTTTGTTAAATTCCACATATTTCACTGTATTTTCCTTGAAATGTAATTTTCATGTGTTGGAAATTTACTGTAAGCCGCCATTTTGTACTTTGCATTATTGGCTATTTATAGCTGTTGCATCGGTTAGTTTCTGTAAACACTAAGTAGGCAGAAGATGTTCCGTTTTGGTACGCAAGAAATAACATCACAAAAGGTAGAGAATTTTTGGAAATAGTCATTATTGTATTTGCTTATAGCTCTATTATTCTAAAATTTTCCTCCATTAAAGTAAAGTTAAGTCCGATCAGTTTATGATCGTTTCCGATCATTTTTGTCTGACAGCCGTCAACCATTTTTGGTTGTTGATCGTTTTTCTACCATTCCAACCACTTTTGGGCAGTGGTTGGGCGTTTTCATATAAATACGGCGAAATCAGCCGTTTGAGTCAGTCTAGTTTTGTCTTTCTTAGAAGCAGCATCCCTTTACGCTGTCTTTGACTCTTAGAAAATTTGAAGCATTAGAAATTTTGGCGGCCATTTAACTTATTGTATAAATTCGTCTGCGGTCTAGCGCCATTAATTTTAGTAAGCAAGATTCTTTATAGAAAGACGATTTATTTACAAGATACTCATTTTATAAGAACTTACATCATAATTTGTTACTATCTCGCATTATATAATTAATATTTATTGACTTTGAACATTATTTTTCTGCTGTTATTGATGAATGATATAAGCGGCTACGGTTCACTGACTTGCATATATTTTTTATGGAACGCCGTTAACGTCTTAATTTAATACGCGATTATATCAGCGAAATTTTGATTTAAATGCATCCTGTGCTATTCTAAAGTAAATTATTCATAAGTATCATAAGTTAACAAACTCATAAGTTGTATTAACATCTAAATATCTGATATCTGTGTGTATTTAATTACAAATGAACATTGCTCATCTTTTCACTGTGAATAATTGTGACAGTTGCTGCTATATATAATAACTTATATATTATATTGTGTGTTGACATTAATTTATTTATACACAAAATAAATTTTGTTGAAGTGTACATCTGATTTGTTCTACATTTTTAATATACATATCTGGTTCAACTGCTATTAGAGGACTCATCTTCAAAGTCTTTGCCTAATTAATTCGAACCATTAGTGCAGTAACATCCCTATAAGATTGCAAAAGAAAGCGCTACCAAAAATAGATCAACAAACAACTCCTGCTAAAGCCCTGTACTGCCGGCACGCGACAATACCATCATAATATTGAAGTAAATATGGCTTCCATGTTATGTTTAACGGTGTTGGAGCTATTATAACCGGGTTTCATAATATTTGATCTCATAAGAAATTTTGTACTTCAACTGAATCCTTTAAGGAACATAAGTAATGCGTTCATTTCTCAACACACAGGGTACATTGTATGCCGCTGCAAATAATAGGGCAATATATTGCTCCAGGATTACCTTATGTCGTTTTCTTAATACTTTTTATACGCCCGTTTGAAAAACGGGACGTATTATGGGAACGCCCCTGGCGGCGGGCGGGCGGGCGGTCGGGCGGGCGGCGTCCAATTTTGTCCGGAGCATATCTCCTACATGTATGGAGGGATTTTAATGAAACTTCATATAAATGTTCACCACTATGAGGAGCAGTGTCGCGCACATGAACCAGGTCTCTAGGTCAAAGGTCAAGGTCACACTTTTAGAGGTCATTGAAAAATGCTTGTCCGGAGCAAAACTTCCACATGTATAGAGGGATTTCAATATTACTTCAAAACTTCCACATGTATAGAGGGATTTCAATATTACTTGGCACAAATGTTCACCATTGTGAGGCGGAGTGTCGCGTGCAAGATTCAGGTCCTTGCGGCCAAGGTCAAGGTCACACATAGAGGTCAAAGTTCAGATAAAAATATGAAGATGTGTATATGGACCATTTAGTCATCATTAATTGAGGGATTGTAACACAAATGGTCATTAGCAAGACTATGGCTGTGATACATATAATTTAGGTCAATATATACAAGGTCAAGGTCACTAAAGATGATGAAATATCCAGATTTTGTAAATAGAATTTAATCAAAGGGAGACAACAAAGTTATTACTTTGTTCATAAATGACTTACACAATTACTCCCCTTGATCTAAAAATAGAATTTAATCAAAGGGCATGAAATAATCCTCTTTCTTGGACTTGAGTATGTTGTAAAGAATGTAACATTTATTTACACATGTTTCATTCATTGGTCAAGATTCTTAACTGTGATAACTATGGTGTTCTGTAGACTTGGTATTTGTTCATAAAGATCATACAGTAATTACCTTATCAAATGTAAATACTTTCTCATAGAAATTTAATTATATTTTAATTTTCAAGTAAATATCAGTTCAGCTCATTCAAAGATTAAGAATTGTAATGAAATGTATTTCCCTAGAATAAAATCTTAAATCAGAATTTTTTAGTTATTAAATTACATGTACTTTTTATACGCCCGTTTAAAAAAAGATAAAAATATGAAGATGTGTATAGGGACGATTTAATCATCATTTATTGAGGGATTGTAACACAAATGGTCATTATAATGACTACGGCTGTGACACATGTACTTTAGGTCAATATATGCAAGGTCAAGGTCACTAAAGATGGTGAAATATCCAGATTTTGTCTGGAGCATATCTCATACATGTATGGAAGAATTTTTATAATACTTTATGGAAATGTTCACCACCATGATATGTATTGCTCCATGCATGATCCAGGTCTCCAGGTCAAAGGTCAAGGTCACACTTAGAGCTCATTGAAAAACGCTTGTCCGGAGCAAAACTTCTACATTCATAGGGGGTTTTCAATATAACTTGGCACAAATGTTCACCATTGTGAGGCTGAGTGTCGCATGCAAAATTCAGATCCCTGCGACCAAAGTCAAGGTTACACTTAGAGGTCAAAGTTCAGATAAAAATTTGAAGATGGTTATAGGGACCATTGAGTCATCATTTATTGATGGATTGTAGCACAAATGGTAACTATCATGACTACAGGTGTTACACATTTAATTTAGGTTAATATTTGCAAGGTCAAGGTCACTGGAGATGATTAAATATCCAGATGTTGTCCGGAGCATATTTTCTACATGCATGGAGGAATTTTAATGTTACTTTTATAGAATTGTTCACCACCATGAGACGTAGTGCCCTGCACATAAACCAAGTCTCTAGGTCAAAGGTGAAGGTCACAGTTAGAGCTCATAGAAAAACACTTGTCTGGAGCAAAACTTCTACATGCATAGAGGGATTTCAATATAATTTGGCACAAATGTTCATCATTGTGAGGCTGAGTGCCGTGCATAAAATTCAGGTCCCTGCAACCAAGGTCAAGGTCACACATTCTGTGCATATCTTCCCTATTGATTTGTTTTAAGGTTCATTTAACAACACAGTGCCAAGAATAAAAACTTGCTTGCTAGATAACACTTATCCATAATGCCCCCATCTCCATCTAAAGCTTTTTCGTAAAGGGGCGTATTTTGTGACTATGGCACCCTTGTTCTTTATGTAACCATTTCTTTGTGTTCTTTCCATCTTTGCCACACAAAGATGTAGAAATATCAGACAGCTATGTACTTCTTGTATGATATGTAATTTACAGACCTATGTTTTTGCAATTTACCGAAACTTAGAAACAATGTCCCACAATGTGCCTTCCCCTTGTGAACCTGCTCGTGACGACATGAAGTTGATTGTCTTCTATACGATTTGCCATAATGCCGGCAAATAAATACATAAGAATTTTGAAGATATTGAATTACTTAATATGGTGTGGTGAAGTATTTAACGATACTATAAGCACAATTTTAAAATCTCATATAATATTCATTACATGTATATATTCCATAGATATACGTAAACTTGCTTTTCATTTAAAGGAACCACTTTTTCTGCGTCTGAAATACAAAAAATAAAAAAAACAAAATGTTTGTATTTTATTTTTGTATTTTAAATACTTTTACGCTGATGTACACGTGTGTTATCAAAGCAAAATACTATCAAGATGACATTGTATAGCAAGCAAACTGAATTCATTTAATTTAATACTTCTTCCTACCCAACTTTCACTTTCAATATCATATTTGTATGATTTCAAAGACAGGAAGCGAGAAACAAGCATAATTCAATGAAAAAAATATGACGAAATAGCACAGGCAATAAAATCGTTCGGCCATTGTACTCATTAAATTTGGTTCGGCCATTGTACTAGTTTTTAAAAAGATGCACAACTTCGTTATGCAACTTTACAAAGGATGGAAATTTTTCTTGACGGGCAAATTTCCAATTGTGCACAAGATGTCATTGCTAATTTTGCTCAAAATGCGTTTCTTTTACTGAAAACAACGTATTTTAGTACCTGTTCGGCCATTGTACTCATCACCCAAAATAATTTTTTCGACTTTCAGGCCTAAACAGGGAGAGCTACAAAGTAACCAAAAACAGAATAGTACGTGGTTTTTATACAGAAGTTCCGTGCGGCCTAGTTTTACATATAAATTTAACGTTAACTGTATGCTTACCTCAATTTCACTGCTTTTACCGAGCATTTTGGCCGCCATTTTATGAGCCCATTGTACGATTTTGGTCACGTGATCATCCGCAGTGAGAATTTTAACTAAGTCTGTACATGAGCAATAATGATAAGATGCATCATCCCTCACGCACCCTAGCACCGGCTTAAGTGGTACATGTACTTAATTTTCGTAATTTAAAAGTGCTGAATCTGTGGACCACAAAAATATAACAACACTGAAGTGAAGAACCGGGTTACTTTTTACAACTCCCTAACGGCACCCGACATTAAAATTTCACTTGTGATATTGTAGATGTTTGTTAGTACTTCCTCCACCAGTAAGGTTTGAAAGTCGCAATATCACCTCTGTTGGGCTGGTGCGACGTTAAACCCAACTAAAGATATTATATTTAAAGTTTGGGAACACCCTAATTTGTAACATATCATTGTAGCGGTTTGCCTTGTATTCTATAGCATAAACCGGAATTACTCGTATCCGAGCTGCACGCAATATTTTTTAACTGATTTTAACGACCAATGAAAAAAGTTACAATATTTGTATACACTGTTCATAGAAAACTGTACTTACTTTTCAAGGGCTATATATTGACCAATAGGTGCCTTAAATGAACCCTCATTAAACCGATTCTGCAATTTTTATGTGATTTTGTTGTAATCAATGCTTCCGAGGCATCATCCTTCTTCCAGATTTGTATATGAGTTATCAAGCCGGTGCTAGGGGGCGTGAGGGATGTTGCATGTATTCATTATCCCTCATGTACAGATTCAGTCAAACCGAGTCTGCAGTTTTCCTGTAATTTTGTTGTGATGAATGCTTCCGAGGGATTACTTTGTTTCTAGATTTTTATACTTCACAACAGCAGGTGTGAAGTGCTGTGTGGCAGCTGTAAAAAAGTGCCCTGTACTTCACTTCAGTGTTGTTATATTTCTCTGGTCCTTCGGGATCATTGATGCCAGCACTATTAAGTGTTGAGAATTGAGTTCCGCTCAAGCCGGTGCCAGTGGGCGTGACGGTAGTTGCATGTTTTCATTATCCCTCATGTACAGACTCAATCAAAAAACAAGAATAAAGATCAACAAGGCAAAGGCAACGTTCACAGGATGCGGCCCCCGACACAACCGAATCTGCAATTTTCACGTAATTTTGTTGTGATTTATGCTTCCGATGGAGCACTTTGTTTCCAGATTTTCATAACCTCTGATTCCCTTTCAAAATTCCATTTTATTTAGTTCCGCCCATTGTTTTCTCGTTTAGGGCACACGCATTTTTTTATACGCCCGTTTGAAAAACGGAACGTATTATGGGCCCGCCCCTGGCGGCCGGGCGGGCGTATGGGCGGGCGGGCGGCGTCCAATTTTGTCCGGAGCATATCTCCTACATGTATGGAGGGATTTTAATGAAACTTCATAGAAATGTTCACCACTATGAGGAGCAGTGTCGCGCACATAAACCAGGTCTTTATGTCAAAGGTCAAGGTCACACTTAGAGCTCATTGAAAAATGCTTGTCCGGAGCAAAACTTCCACATGTATAGAGGGATTTCAATATTACTTGGCACAAATGTTCACCATTGTAAGGCGGAGTGTCGCGCGCAAGATTCAGGTCCTTGCGGCCAAGGTCAAGGTCACACATAGAGGTCAAAGTTCAGATAAAAATATGAAGATGTGTTTATGGACC